CAGGTGAACATCTGCTTGATGTGGAAAGTCTTCTTGGGGCCTGGGATGGGGGTGAGGGAGGAGGTATGGGGGCAGGTGTAGCACTTCCTGCGGTTGCAGGGAAAAGTGCCGGGTGTGGTGGGGCTGGAGGGGAGTGTGGAGCGAACAAGGGAGTCACGGAGAGAGTGGTCCCTCCAGAAGGCAGATAAGGGTGGGGAGGGAAAGATGTCTTTGGTGGTGGGGTCGGATTGCAGGTGGCGGAAGTTCGGAGGATGATGCGTTGGATCCGGAGGTTGGTGGGGTGGTACGTAGTACGGTGTTTGTTTTGGACTTCTTGTCAAGTGAGGGCAGACTTCCCTTAAAAGTAAGTTCAATACATGATTACTGCAATAAAGGGTTATCTGCTGAGGAGAGATTAGGTAGAATGGACCAGATTCCTTGATTAGAAAAAAGAAAATGTGATCTAAATTTGCAAGCAGGTCTGGCACAGAAAATGCTGGAAGTTGTTTCCCCTGTAAAGTGTAGGACGAGGGATCATATTTCCATGACATGAGATTGGCCATTTAGGGAAGGAGAGATTTCATCACTCACAGAGTTGTAAACATCTAGCAATCTTTGGGCCGTGGAGTTTTATCAAGGCTGAGATCATTACATTTTTGGACACTCACAAATCAAGGGGAAAGTGTGTTAAAGTGGAGAAGATGTTGAAATTCAGCCATGACCTTACCAAATGCTGAAGCAGGATTAATTAGCTGACGCTTTGACAAAGGAATGGAAAGTGATATGAGAAGACTGTTTTATTTTGTTGAGTAGCAAGTTTCAATTCTGGAATGCACTTTGTTTTTCATTACTCTTTCACCGGATGGTGCCTATCCCAAATTGCCTTTGAACTTATTGCTTACTTGACTATTTAAGAGGGAGAGTCAACCACATTCCTACAGGCCAGACTGAGTAAAGATGGCAGATTTTCTTCCCCAAAGGGTATTACTGAATGATATGGGTTTCTACAAACAACACGGCAACAATATTGAAACTTTAACTTTGCTTTCAATTTCACATGTTATTCAACTTGAATTGAACTGCCACAGTGAAGTTTGAAATGTTGTTTCCACAGCGTTAACCTGGCAGTCTGGATTATTTGTCCAGTGACATTATCATGATGTCCCTTTCTGTGCTGTTTCTTTCTATTACATGACGATCACTGTATGTTCCATTTATTCTTGTATTCCTATGTTTAATCTGTCTGTTTCTGTGCTTCTACATCTCTCTGTCTCACTCTTCCCTTTAGCTTCCTGCACTAGGAGATTGTGCCTGGCTAGCCTCACTCCATACCTTACACATTCTCTGAACATGACAGGTTTACTTGCCAGCAATTTCACTGAAGGGAAGCTTCAAACCAGTTTGGCAGCCTCATTAGCTCATATGCTTCACTGTGACATTATTGCTCAACATTCCCCATTTGTGTTTTATGAAATTCTTATTAGCTTTGTTTAAACAGCGTTAAGAAGTGACTGCGGCTAACAACCAAAACGAGACCAGAAATTGACTAACATCTTCCATGACCCAAGACATCCCAAAGAATTTCACAGCCAATAAATTACTATCAAAGTGAATTCACTGTTGTAACATTGGAATTGTACCAATTGCAGGAATTTATCATCTGAAAAAACCCATCTGACTCACCAATCCTGTCACAGCAGATAGTGTAATTTGAATTCAGTAAAAAAAAATCTATAATGAAGGATCTAATGTGAATCCATTGTCTATTACTGGGGGAAAACCCATCTGGTTCACTGATATCCTTTAGGAAGAAAACTGCCATCCTTACCTGGTCTGGCCTGCATGTGACTCCAGACCCACAGCAATGTGGTTGACTCTTAACAACCTCTGGGCAATTAGGGATGGGTAATAACTGTTGGCCTAGCTAGCGACACTCACATCGAATGAATGAATAAAAAAAAACTCCAGGCAGCAAACTTACTCCAACCACATTGTGATATTGACCAAGTAATTTGATTGAGGGATAAGTGTTAGCCAGGTCAGTGGCTAAGGAATGGTCACCAGACCCAAAATGTTAACTCTGTTTTCTCCTTCACAGATGCTGCCAGACCTGCTGAGCTTTTCCAGCAACTTTGTTTTTG